TCCCACTGTCATTACCCTTATCCCATTTTCAATACTTGTTAGCTATATGGCCTTGGAAATTTTCTTTTCTTTCTTTTTTTTTTTTTTGGTTAATCTTCACCTGAGGATATATTTTCCATTGATTTTTTTAGAGAGAGTGGAAGGGAGAGAGAGAGAAAGAAACATTGACATGAGAGAGACACATTGGTTGCCTCCCGCTTGTGCCCTGACCTGGGCCGGGGATTGAACCTGCAATCCTTTAGTGCACAGGCCAGCACTCTAACCACTAAACCACACTGGCCAAGGAGGCCTTAGAAATTTTAAGTCTTGGGAATCTAAGCCTTAATTTTCTTATTAGTGAAATAGTACTGACTCCTAAAGGTAAGATTATTGTGAGAATTAAAATTTAAATGAAATAATGTACATATCTGGCACATAGAAAGTGCTCAACAAATGATTCTGTAATTATTGCTGTTATGTAAGGATTATTAATATGGATTAAGAGAGATTATATGTGCAAAGTATCAAGCAGAGTACTTGAGTCATTCTAAGTACGTCATAAAATTCTAGTTTCTTCTATCCTGCAAATATTGCTGTGACCTCCTAAGTAGTAGTCTTTTTTTTTAATCCTCACCTGAGGATATTTTTACATTTATCTTCAGATAGAGTGGAAGGGAGAGAGAAACATTGTCTGGTTGCCTCCAACACAACCCTGACCAGGGCCAAGGACCAAACCACAACCGAGGTACATGCCCTTGACCAGAATCAAACATCGTGACTCATTGGTCCATGGGCCAACACTCTAACTACTGAACCAAACCGGCCAGGGCAGTAGTCTTTTTTTAAAGTTGACTTTTAGAGAAAGAGGAAGGGAGAGGGAGAGAACAAAAGAAACATTGATGTGAGAGCACAAAATTCATCAGCCTCCCACACACCATCCTACCGGGGATCAAGCCTACAACCTGGGCCTGGGCCCTGACTGGGAATTGAACCAGGTGCACAGGACAATTCCCAAACAATTGAGCAACAACAGCTAGGGAAGTGTTTTTTATTTTATTTTAAATTTTCAATTACAGTTGATGTACATTACTATTAATTGCAGCTGTACACCCGATTTAACATTACATATAACTTACTGAATGATCATCCCGATAAATCTCACATCCATCTGACACCATTCAGTTATTAGAATATTATTAACTATATTCCCTATAACTATTCTGTAACAACCAATTTACACTCCTTAATCCCTTTACCTTTTTCACTCATCCCCCAACCCACCTCCCATCTGGCAACTGTCAAAAGGTTTTCTGTATCTATGAATCTGTTTCTTTTTTTTCTTGTTTATTTTGTTTTTTAGATTCAATTATTAATATATGTGTATTTATTGCCATTTTATTGAAATATGTTTTTATTGATTGTTTAGAGAGAGAGGAAGGGAGACAGAGATAGAAACATTCATGTGAGAGAGATACATCTATCGGCTGCCTTCTGCATGCCCCTTGAGCCTACAACCCGGGCATGTGTTCTGACGGGGAATCGAACCAGGACCTCTCAGTCTATGGGATGATGCTCAGTCCATTGAGCCACACTGGCCGGACTCTATCTATCTATCTATCTATCTATCTATCTATCATCTATCTATCATCTATCTATCCATACATACATATACATATACATATTTTTTTTTCCATTTTTGTTCAGATAGAGTGGGAGGGAGAAAGAGGAAGAGAGGGAGAGAGAGAGAAGCATTGATGTGAGAGAGACACATCGACTGGTTGCCTCCTGCATGACCCCAACCAGGGCTGGGTACAAACCACAGCTGAGGTACATGCCCTTGACTAGAATTGAACCCGAGACTCATTGGTCCACAGGCCAGTGCTCTAACCACTGAACAAAACCAGCAGGGTGAGCTATATTTTTAATTAATTTATTTTTTTCTTTTTGAAGAAGATCCTTTAATATTTCATATAATACTGGTTTGTTGGTGATGAACTCCTTTTAGCTTTCTCTTATCTAAGAAGCTCTTTATCTGTCCTTTAATTCTAAATGATAGCTTTGCTAGGTCCTTGTTTTTCATCACTGAATATTTCTTGCAAGCCCTTTTTAAAAAATAATCCTCACCTAAGGATATTTTCCCATTGATTTTTAGGTAGAGTGGAAAGGAGGGAGGGGGAGAGAGAAAGAGAGAAACATAGATGTGAGAGAGACACATTGATTTGTTGCCTCCCATATGACCCTGACCCAGGGCTGGAGATTGAACCTACAACTCAGGTATGTGCCCTTGACCAGGAGTCAGACTCACAACCTTTTGGTTGTGGGCCAGTGCTCTAACCCCTGAGCCAAACTGGCCAGGGCTTGCCAAGTCTTTTGGCTTGCAAAGTTTCTATTGATAAATCAGCTGACAGTCTTATGGGAGCTCCCTTGTAGGTAACTAACTGCTTTTCTCCTTCTGCTTTTAAGATTCTCTCATTGTCTTTAACCTTTTGCTTTTTAATTATGATGTATCTTGGTGTGGGCCTCTTTGGGTTCATCTTGTTTGGGACTTTCTGTGCTTCCTGGACTAGTATGTCTATTTCCTTCACCAAGTTAGGGAAGTTTTCTGTCATTATGTTTTCAAATAGGTTTTTAATTTCTTGTTCTCTCTCTTCTTCTGGCACCCCATTATGTGAATGTTTATATGCTTGAGGTTGTCCCAAGGCTCCTTACATTATCCTCTTTTTTATTTTTAGATTCTTTTTTCTTTTTGCTGTTCTTATTGGGTGTTTTTTGCTTCCTTATATTCCAAATCGCTGATTTGATTCTTGGCTTTATCTACTGTACTGTTGATTCCTTGTAAATTATTCTTCATTTCAGTTAGTGTATTGTTCATTTCTGACTTGTCCTTTTTTATGCTGTTGAAGTTCTCAGAAAGTTCATTGAATATCTTTATAACCAGTGTTTTGAACTGTGTATCTGGTAGATTGTCTGTCTCTGTTTTTTTAGTTCTTTTTCTGGAGTTTTGTTCTGTTCTTTAATTTAGGACATGATTCTTTGTCTCCTCATTTTGGCAGCCTCCTTGTGTTTGTTTCTATGTATTAGGTAGAGCTGCTACATCTCCCAGCCTTGGTAGAGTGGCCTAATTGAGTAGGTGTCCTGTAGAGTCCAGTGGCACAGCTTCCCTGATCACCCAAGCTGGGCACTCTATACTCTTCCCTCCATTTGGACTGTGTACATCCTCCTCTTGTAGTTGGGCCTTTATTGTCTTTGGAAGGGATTTACCCCCAGGCCAATTGACTGTAAGGGCTTGCTGTAACCACTGATCTACAGTCTCTAACCACTGTGGAGGATCACTTGTGCAGGGCCCACCCCACAGAGCAGGATTTACTTTAGCAGGTCTCTGTTGCTCACTGAGTCTGTGGTTTGAGTGTGTCACTTGTAGAGGTGGTTGGGTGGTGGTACTTTGACATAGTCTGAAGCTGTCCACCTAGTGCTCTGTCTCTGGAGTCTCCTGGGAGGTGCAGGCTCAGGTCAGCTACTGCCTATATTCTGCCTGGGGCCACCTGGCATGAGCAACAAAGCAAATTGCAGATGACTGCTATGTGTGCTGGACTTGGAGGTGCCCAGGCGAGGACAAGTTGTGAACCAAGGCTGGCTGCTTAACAAGAGGTATGGGGTTCATTGAGGCCAGATGCTGCTTGTTTGAGAGATTTTAGGAAAATCTGAAGCATGAGCCAAGACAGGCCACTTTTATGGAAAAGCCACTGGAAACAGCTTGGGTGAGCTCGAAAGTTAGTTGGGGTGGGGCCTCAGGGAATCACCATAGTGGGACAAATAGTGTGAGCCGGGTTGATGGAGTCTCAGATTGACACTCCCTTGCTGGCCCTGTGTGTGTGTGTGTGTGGGGGGGGCTTATCAAAGGAACAGTGGCTTCTGGCAGCACTTCTGTCTGGGTAAAAGCTGTACCCCCAGCTCTTGCCCTGATGCTGAACAATTCATTTTCTCCCAAAATGTCTCTGGTGCCTGTTAAGTTGCTGCTCCAGCTCTGGAGCTCAGAGGGAGTGAGTCCAAGTTAGTGTGTGCACAAGTCCTTTAAGAGGACTGCCATAGCCTCTGTTTTCTCTCAGCCTCAATCCCTGCTAGTTTTTACAGCCTGAAGTTATATGGACTTCCCTTCAGGCACTGGAACCCTGGGCTGCAGTGCCTGCTGTGGGGCTGGAACTCCTCACTCCTTTGGGGGTCCTCCACAGCCAAGATATCCCTCCCAATCATCTGCCATATGTGTTGTGGGACCCGCCAGTTCTGTATCTCTGCCTCTCCTACTAGTCTCGATTTGGTGTCTTTTTTAATTCCCTAGTTGTAGGACTTCTATTCAGCTCAATTGTAGGCAGTTCTAAATTATGGTTGTTCTGTAGTTTAGTTGTAATTTTGATGTGTTTGTGGGAAGAGGCAATTACCGTGTTTACCTACACCACCATCTCGTCCAGAAATCAGTAGTAGTCTTATCTCTAGTCTCTCTGACCTACTTCATTTGAAACACTGTTATCAGTTTATTGCTCCTTAAGTATAAGTTATATTTTGTAATTTTTGTTCAATATAATTCATTCACCCAGAATGCTGTTTAATTTGTCATATATTCTTCTGATTTTTATTTTTTCTTTGCATTTTTAAAAACACTTTTGAATCAGATGATATATACATTTTTATATCTTGCCTTTTTAACCTTATGACGTATTTTTCTTGCTATTAGAAACTTTCTTTAAATTTTTTTTTTCTTTATTGATATTTAGAGAGGAAGGGAGAAGGAGAGAGAGAGAGAAACATCAATGAGAGAGAACATCAATTGGCTGTCTCCTGCATGCCCCTCACTGGGGATCGGGCCCACAACCTGGGCACGTGCCCTGACCGGGAATCGAACCAGCGACCTCTTGGTGCATGGGTTGACGCTCAACCACTGAGCCACATCGGCTGGGCACCATTAGAAACTTTTTGTAAATATCTTTTATAATACTGGCAGAATGTTGTTTCCAGAATTTTTTTGGTTGCGTTTTTAGTATCATACGTGATCACCAAACTGTTGCTAGAATATTCACTCCTGTTACTGCAAATTCAAAACCCATGAAAAACTTCTGGGAATTTACTTTAGGTCAGGGTAGGGCTGCCTGGTACAAGGCTTCACCCACAACTGGGCAGGTTCAACAACACAGGAGCCTTTCTCCAAACCATACGGAATTTTTATTATAAGAACTAAATATTTTTGTGCATAAAATTTTTACCCACATTTAGGTTATTTTCTTTTTCTTCTTCTTTTTTTTTATTTGCATTTATCTTCAGATAGAGCGGGAGGGAGAGAGGGAGGAAGAGAGAGAGAGAGAAACATCGACATGTGAGAGACACATCGAGTGATTGCCACCCACACAACCTCAACCGGGCCGGGGACAAACTGTAACTGAGGTACGTGCCCTTAGCGGGAACTGAACCCGGGTCTCTCTGGTCCGCAGGCTGACGCTCCAACTGCTGAGCCAAACCGGCCAGGGCTAGGTTATTTTCTTAAGCTAGATTTTCCAGAAGTACAACTACTGGGTTGGAGGGTACAAACATTTTTTTTTTTTTATTACTTACAAAATTAATTCTCATTGATTGTAGAAAACTTGGAAAATATTTTCAAAGATAGTGTAAAATATTAGTTATTCACATGTTTGGTAACCAAAGGTGACTACAGTTACATTTCCTTTTAGTTTTTCTTTCTATGCGCACATATAGCTTATCTATATTGAATATAATTGGGATCATAGCAAATGGCTGTATTTCCCAAAATATGATCCTCAGAACACTCTAGTCCTGTGAGATATGCTACAAAATAAATAACTAAATTAAAAATAAGGTTCTTGGGGTCAAATACATTTGGGAGACACTGCCCACCATATTCCCATCTTGGATATTCACATGAATAAGAACATACTAACTCATCATCTGTGAAACTGGAATAATCTTTCATAGAGTTGTGAAAATGAAATAATGTATATGAGCACTGTCCTTGGCATGAAGCAAGCACTCAATAAAGGGTAGTTGCTATTATCTTTGAGAATTGACTTTAAAATTTCCATATGGATCATTCACTCTTTACACCAAAGATACTACTCACTACTATGAGCACAAACCACTTTTCAGTATAGTATCATCACCTATTGTGTTTCTGCCTAACCCTCCTGTGAAACTGGGCTACCTAGTATAAGACATGCAACAGTAGTGTGTAAACTTACTGCGTTAAAATTGCAAGTATGTGCTGTCTGTGATCTCGGACCTATCATTTAATCTCTTAAAGACTGTTTCCTCAGCTGTAGATGATAATATCTACCCATTGTCTAGATTCAATAAGGTAATCTAGATAAAATTCTTATAGCTCCTTATTAATAAATGCTCTTTTCTAATTGTTTTTAACATACTGTGTTTTCCATTGCTGTGATTTTGCTTATTATTCCTCCTAGAATGCCCTTTAGCATTCCTTTGCCTGCAGAAATAATGAGCCACTGATGTTATTACTGTTACTACTACCGAGTCTCTAGGGTAAATATTGTCATGATTTAGCCCTGTCCAGGCAGCTCAGTTGGTTAGAGCGTTTTCCCGATACACCAAGGTTGCAGGTTCCATGTCTGTTCAGGGCATATACAAGAAGTAACCAATGAATGCATAAATAAGTGGAACAACCAATGTTTTTTCTCTCTCTCTGTCTCCCCCCCACCCCCACTTCCTCCTTTTAAAATCAATTTAAAAAAAAATAAGATTTTCGCCTAGCTGGTGTGACTCAGTGGATTGAGTGTCGTCCCATGACCTGAGAGGTCCCCATTCGATTTCTGGTCAGGGCACGTGCTCGGTTTGTGGGCTCGACCCCCCGTGGGGGGGCGTGCAGGAGGCAGCTGATAGATGTTTCTCTCTCACATTGATGTTTCTATCTCTCTCTCTTTCTAAAAAAATCAATAAAAACATTAAAAAACAGATTTTCATGATTTTGTATCACATTCCCCCGTTAAACAGTGTGTGGTCATTTATTCTCTTGAAATCTTTTATCAGTATGTATCAGTATCTCTTAGGATACTTAGGACATTTATATTTTTGTCTTATTATTCGTTTGCCTAACTTGCCTTTCCTCCTTACTTAGACTGTAAATTTCTTGAGAGTGGGGCCATTTTACTTAATCCCTGTAGCACTTTGTATAGTGCTTTTCTCCTAGGAGGCTTTTAGTAATTTATTGTGTCTAATTAATTTGTAATCTGGCTTCTGGCCACTCTTTTTTTATTTTTAATTTTTTCTTAATTTTTTTTCTTTATTGATTTCAGAGAAAGAAGAAGAGAGAGGGAGAGAGAGATAGAAACATTGATGAGAACATTGATTGGCCACCTCCTGCACGCCTCCTACTGGGGACTGGGCCCACAACTTGGGCATATACTCTGACCAGAAATCGAACCAGCGCCCTCTTGGTTCATGGGTCGATACTTAACCACTGTGCCACACTGGCAGGGTGAAGGATTTTTTTTTTTTAATTTATTTTTTAAAATCCTCACTTAAGGACATTTTCCATTTTTTGTTCAGGTAGAGTGGGAGGGAGAGAGAGAGAGAGAGAATCATCGACGTGAAAGGGACACATGGAGTGGCTGCCACCCACACAACCCACCAGGGCCGAGGACAAACTGCAACCAAGGTATGCGCCCTTAGTGGGAACTGAACCCGGGTCTCTCCGGACCACAGGCCGACACTCTAACCGCTGAGCCAAACCGGCCAGGGCAAGTTTTTTTTTTAAATCTTCACCTGAGAGTATTTTTCCATTTATCTTTAGATAGAGTGTGAGAGGGAGAGAGGGAGGGAGGGACGGAGGGGGAGAGAGACAGAGACAGAGACATTGATGTGAGAGAGACATCCCCTACAACCCCATCCAGAGCCAGGGATTGAATTGCACCAGAGGTGGTGCAAACCCTTGACCGGAATTGAACCTGTGACTCTTCAGTCCATGGGCTAACACACTAACTGCTGAGCCAAACCGGCCAGAGCCTGACCACTCTTCTTTTCTGAGACAATATTTTTGGAAATAACTAGAGATTTCCAAATTGCCAAAATCTTCTTTTCCTTAATCTCTGCAGTGTTTTTAATACTGTTAGTCACCTGCCCTTACTTAAATTTCTTTTGGTCTCCATGGCATAGCACTGTCCTGGTTCTTCTTTGCTAGAATCATTTTCTGTTGTTGCTGACATCTTTTCCTTGAGGAAAATGATCATGACCATTTTTTCAGGTTATTTCTCCAAATTGGATCTTTTTATATTTCCTCTATGTTAGAAACCTGAGTCTTATCATTGTTGGGCCTGAGATCATCCTCAAGCTCATATCTATGACCCAAATCTCCTTTCTTACTTGTACATACCTTGAACAGTCACTTCCACCTAACTCTTGAAGTTCTCCCAAGCATTGCTATGTTGTCTCTTCACTGTCTTCCTGCCATCCCTGAAAACAGGGCCCTTTCAGTTTAAGGAAACAGATTGAGGATTATAAAATAGCAGATGTGGGGAAATCGCACAGTTTACAAAATTGTTACATTAACAGTCTTTAATCTGTAGTTCCTGGAAAGTCCTGGTAATCTGACCTTGGTTTTTATTTCTAGGGGTAAGAATGCCAAACCTCTACCTTTTTGATTTTACCTTCGGATACCATCAAGGACAGAGAATGGAACCAAGAAAACAAAATAAATGTTCCTTTGTGATAATAGGCTATTTGTATCTGTGAGGGCTTCCAGTTACGGTGGCCATTCAAAAAACTTCTGCCCTATCTTTTCTCACATTCCATCTCTACTAGCCTTAAGGCTTCACTATAATCTCTGGGCACTTAAATATATGTTTTTTATTGTCCCTTTCTCCTTAATTCCATGTGAAACACTGCCTATCTAGCTGGAATTGAATGTTACTTTCACGAGGTTTTCTTCTCTTCAGGACTTTCTATCAGTGGTTTTTAGTTTCCACGTTCAAAAGTGATATTTCAATTAGTTTATTTATATGTGTTCTTATTACCTTTCTTTCTCAGTAGAATGCATGCTACAAGGAGGCTAGACCCTTGCCTTCTTTATTCATTGTTGTATCCCTAGGTCTTATTACAGTGTAAGTGCTCAATAAACATTTACAATCCATGCATGATTAAATGTTATTACCATATGCCCTATCTACCCACAGGTATGTTGTGAAAAACGAGAATACATGTGAAAATCACCAAATTAAATCCATTGACTATAGCACTGTTTCAGTTATTTCTTCCCTGTAATTCAAATCTTGGCAGTGTTCAGATCCTGTTGACTTATTCTTCATGATGAATTTTTTTTTTCATTTTCCTTTCAATACCCATACAGAGCATCTAAATCAAGTCTTCTTGCATTGAGTGTCTATTGCTTTCATTTTTTTCTATTTTTAGCTTATGTTATATATTTTCAGGTTAATCTTTTTATTTTATTTTTTATCCTCACCCGAGGACATTTTTTCCATTTTTTTGTTCAGATAGAGTGGAACGGAAAGAGGGGAAGAGAGAAAGAAACATCTATGTGAAAGGGACACATCGAGTGGCTGCCACCCACACAACCCAATCAGGGCTGGGGACAAACTGCAACCGAGGTACATGCCCTTAGCGGGAACTGAACCCAGGTCTCTCGGGACCGCAGACTGACACTCTTAACTGCTGAGCCAAACCAGCCAGGGCTCAGGTTAATCTTAAAACATTGCTTTGAGAAGATCATCTGTACTCCCTTATTGGCCTTCAGTGTTCTTCCACAATTTGAAGCTGAAGTCCAGTGTCAAGAGGAGATTATATACTTTTTTTTAATCCTCACCTGAGGACATTTTTGCATTTATCTTCAGGTAGAGCGGGAGGGAGAGAGGGAGGAAGGGAGAGAGAGAAAGAAACATCGATGTGAGAGAGACACATCGACTGGCCGCCACCCGCACAACCCCAACCAGGGCCAGGGACGGACTGCAACCGAGGCATGTGCCCTTAGTGGGAACCGAACCCGTGACTCTCTGGTCCATGGGCCCACGCTCTAACCGGTGAGCCAAACTGACCAGGGCAATACTTTTTATTTAATGACTAATTTACGTCTAATCTATTACATATGGTTTTTGCCCCAAATATACTGGATTCTTGCTATTCCCTAATATGATACATAAATTTATTCATTAATTTGAATTAATTACAGTCTT